AGAATGTCAATTGTCCCCAAATTTTTGGATTAAGCCATATATCTCAAAACCCTAATCTCCAATTATCATTCATTCCAATCCAGTAGAACAAATAGCTCAAAATGCTCAAATAAACAACTTCCTTATCATATATTTTTTTAAGCATAAGCTATAATTTAAAACCCTAAAATTTTCTCACAAAACTCAACCATAATATATTTGAATTTTCCTCAAAATAGAAGAAAAAATTGAGAACTCAAACCTTGATCTCGTTGGTGGCTTTCTTCCTCTTCCTTTCTTTTTCCCATTTTTTCCTTCTTCCCAGTTTCTGCCTATTGCTATGTGTGTTGTGTGTGGAAATGATGGAAAGTGGATTTCTAATGCCAAACAATTGGAGTAATTGCAAAAGAGTTCCCTCACCCATCAACCAAAATGATTTTAAGTCCTTTACTTCAAAATTTAAATAAGTAAGTCCTTAACGTCCAATTTAATCCAACTTAGACCCTCAGTAATTGTCAATTGCCAAAATAAACCCCTACTAAAATAATTTGCTTCATTAAGTCCTATTTGACTATGACTTTGACAATTCAACTTTTGACTTTGAAATAAAATCTTAACTTTTGACTAGATAGAACGGGTCGTAACACTTAACGTGGATGTTACCAAATTCCAAACCAACTTGGTCCCTTACCCGAGAATCCATTTCATGCTTTCCTGTACACACTTGTTATCTCAGCCGAGAAAGTATACTATATGCAGCTCTCTGTTGCTGAAATCACAAACATTGCTTTCGAGCCCTCATCTATGATGGCCAAGTGTGACCCTAGCCATGGCAAATACAAGGCATGTTGTTTGAAGTATCGTGGTGATGTTGTGCCTAAGGACGTTAATGCAGCTGTTGCCACCATCAAGACTAAGCGTACTACCCAATTCGTTGACTGATGCCCCATTGGTTTCAAGTGCGGTATCAACTACCAGCCCCCTACTGTTTTGTCCTGGAGGCGATCTTGCAAGGGTACAGAGAGCTGTCTACATGATTTCCAACTCAACAAGTGTAGCCGAGGTGTTTTCTCGCATTGACCATAAGTTTGACTTTATGTATGCCAAGCGAGCCTTCGTCCATTGGTACACCATCGCATCTTGAACTTTTCACAGTACCCTGTCGTTCTTCTACAGTCTTGACATCCTGTTACCTTCTAAGGCTTTTTCAGGAAATTCATCCACCACATAGCTGATCTTTTAGGGAATTTAGTCAAATGTCCATTTAGGAAGTCTACATAAAAAATGCCAAATCTAACATTGTACGCTTGTGCCCATTTAAAATTTTCAAGCAATGACCATATGAAGTAACCCTTCACACATACACCACGTCTGAAAATGAAGGAAAATTAGTCGATTAATTTCAAAACATACAATTTTATTTCAAATTCATGAACTACCATATGTGCAAAACAAATGATGACTTACACTATTGCCTTTCTAAGGTATGCGAGATGGTCCCTGTGATACTTAATCCTAGTTTCATTGATTCGAGCCTTTGAAATTGTTAGGGCTTTATTGTTGACTTCATCCACCCTATAAGAGATCATGGAGGAACCAACAAACCACTAAATGCCCTGAAAAATTAGTAATTTTTATGTATTTTTTGGCTATATAAATAAACTAATAAACAAGACTATATATCATTATCTGAGATGATAATCTCGACATTCTCATATCTTTCCTATATATGAATCATGAGATGGTAAATTCCCTCTGGAACTATGTACAACCATAGCGAACCAGCCTACCATGAAATAAAAAAGATTGTTATTACAAAATGTATTTTAATTCGTTGAGCTGGTATATTATGAGTCTCTGTCACGATCATGTATCACCATAATTTTTTATATGCCTAAATTGTTATAAGAATAATCTATTCATTTTCTGATTTTTCTTATGGAAGGGTAATGTTAATGGCTCACCCGTTAACCAATCGACTTCCCGTGATGATGAGCTACAAAAGAATGAGAAATGAACATATTGTTATTAATAGTGTCCATTTTATGTCAAGATAAAAGAATATAATGGAATTGTAATTACTGGGATATTCAACATGCAGATCATTGTCATAATGTGGTTGTGAAGTCTTTCGACGTATATTTGTGGTAATAATTCACAGGAACCTTTCACTAGCGCCACATCGTCTGGATTAAAATTGGGAAGACGTTTTCTTACATTATTTCTCATGGATGGTGGATAATCACCAGTTATTTCAGGGACTACAAACCTGAACAAGAGAAATGTGTTAAAATTTTGAATTATGATAGAAGTACTGTCTGAAATTCTACAAAAATATATATCATGTATTCTCGAAAAGACACATGGTTTATACAATATACAAATAAGAAAAATGTATAAACAAGTTAAATGATAAACAAAATAGAAGAGAAGTAGTTTTCGATAACGGAATCCAAATTTAACGAACTTTCAAGGCCACTAATTGCATTTTGAGTGTTAGGAATTTATAGAGATGACGAAAAATTTCTCTTGGTAACGATAAACTACTCAAGCACATGCAGTATGTACAAATGTAATAATATTTATAATCAATAATTAAATCTCAAAAGTGTGTATTTATATATGTGTCTATGAAATATCAAAATGAAAACATGATAATATTTCCTGTATATATTAACCGCATGTGCATGGGAAAGGATCAAATTGTGTTCCATGGTATATGGTTCAGTGCCTGGATCTCCGTTTGAGGAAGTATGGGGAGAAGTACTAAGCGCCATATCAAATGGTTCTCTCTGTGGATTTTTTTCATTAGAGGAAGTAAGAGTAAGTGTTATGCTCTATGTCCAATTAAATTTG